GACCCACTTGAGTAATCTACCGGAGTACTCTAGTTTGATGAGGACAGACTTTAGCGGGTGATCGATGATGACCTATATGGGGTGTACCTGGAAATATGGTTGGAACCTCTATTCTGAAATGTCTGAGGCAAAGGTCAGTTTCTCCATTATTGGATGCCGAAGTTCGACGCTTTTGAGGATCCGACTAGTGTAATACAACAAGTATTATTTTTCAAGTTTGTTTTTGACTAGGACCAAACTAATGGCTTTGGGATCTAATCCAAGGTAAAGGTAAAGTTTTTTCCTTTGGCTTTGGGCTCTAAAGGAGAGGAGGAGAGGCGAGGATTTCCTTGAGGTTCCTGAAGACCTCCTCACACTCAGGTGTCGACTCAAAGAATTTGATTTTCCTAAGCACTTTGAAGAAAAAGGCGCACTCATCACCTGACTAGGAGATGAACTTACTCAAACCCGTGATTCAACTGATCAATTTTTGGATTTCTTTGGTGTTTATAGAGGGGACATGTCAAGAAGCATCTGGATCTTTTCTGTGTTAGCCTTCTTGCCATCAAGTAACTATTTCGAGAATTTTCCTATAGTGGCCCCAAAGATACATTTCAGTGGGTTTGATTTCAAGTTGAATTTTTTAAGTGTTAGAAATGTTTTTCTTAGATCTTTAATGTGTTTTTCGGCCGACCAAATTTTAAGTAGCACATTATCGACATACACCTCAATATTTATTCCTTTTTTATTAGCAAGTAATAATCCATAAGACGTTGGTAAGTTGCCCCCACATTTTTTAGCCCAAAGTAATAACAACAAAGTTCCTCACAAATGATAAAAGCGGTTTTTTCTACATCAACAAGAAGCATTTTGATCTGGTGATACCCTGAGTGGCAGACCGCTTAGTCTACCTAAGCATTGTTCCTTGCTATATGGTAAGCTTCATTCAGATAGATTGAGTTCAGGTTGGTGAAGTCAACACACATCCTTTATTTTTCGTTAGCCTTATGCACTATCACTGCATTGGAGACCTGGGTAGGGTATTTTCCTAAATGTACCCTGCCAATTCAAGTTTTTGTACTTCCTCTTGAATAGGTCCCACCAATGTCATGGCCAAGCTTCTAATCTTCTGTGTACTCTACCTCTTCTAGCTCTTGTACTTCCTCCCTAGTAAGTCCGACCAACATAATAGCTGAGCTTCTAATCTTTTGGCTCATGGGTCGAGCCGATGGATCTACATTCAGTCTGTGGTAGGCAACATCGACCAACACACCTGCCATTTCAGTAGTCATCTATGCAAAAACATCTCGATTCTATTAAAGATTAAAACCAACAACTCCCTGTGTCCTGCATCAAAAACTTCACTTATCAGAAAACATCTGTCTGATTCTCCTTTGACAGCCAAAACTTCTTGGGTGGTTTCGTTGGTCTCGAGGCCACCTTCCCTTGCTTTCTGGATGTCAAGAGGGTCATGTTCCACGTTTCTTATGACTCACAAGCAACAGAATTGGGATTTCTCCAGGCCACCATTGACTGTGATGATTTCTCATCCCCAAGAAATTTGACACCAATATGATAAGTGGAGATTGTTGCCCTGAAATCATTCGGAAGTGGTCGATTAAATATAACATTATAAGTTTGGGGAGGGGGATAATCCACTATAAGGAGCTTCATGAATCAATGAAGAAGTCATCGAATCAACAATGAGGCTCAGCTTGTTGAACACCTTCTTGAATAGGGCATTCTCAGAGCTTCCTGAATCAATGAGGACACTTCTACTTGAAAATTATTGATTATTGTTGTTATTACAATAACATCATTATATGGATTTTCATTTGTGGGGAGATCCTCACTGGTAAAGTAAATAGGCTAGTGTCTTCTGGGTTTTGGGGTAAAGGCTGTAGCTCTAAGTTCCCCCATATGCCTCTCTCTTCAAACCAACCCTCCAAGGTGATTGACTTTCTCCAAAGATTGAAGGCACATATCTTGCAATGTGAATGACGTTGGTGCAAATAGGTCCGTCTATTGTTCCTTCCGAGGGGGCTTTGCCCTGCCTCTGAGTCGTGGCCTTAGAAGCGCAGGCACATATCTTGCAATGTGAATGACGTTGGTGCAGATAGGTCCGTTTATTGTTCCTTCCGAGGGAGCTTTGCCCTGACTCTGAGTCGTGGCCTTAGAAGCGATAAATTCTTTTAGCTTCCCCTCCTTTATCAGTTCCTCAACCAGACTTCACAGATTTATGCATTCGTCAATGTCGTGCTTGTGGTCCTGGTGATACTTACAATATTTCCTGCTATCTCAAAGGAATGCTTTGGTTCTCATCGGTCGTGCCTTTTTAATAAATTCCTTATCTTGAATAGCTTCCACTATTTATATGATGGACACTCTCAGTGCGGTTTCACAGGGGGCCCCGCAAAGGAATGCTTTGGTTCTCATCGGTCGTGCCTTTATAAGAAATTCCATATCTTGAATAGCTTCCACTATTTATATCATGGACACTCTCAGTGCGGTTTCACAGGGGGCCCCATGGTTGTACCAGGAATGTTCATGATGATAGGACAATTGGTGGTGTGGGCCCTGATTGGCCGCCTCTGATCCTCGTGATGATGGGTGGGTTTGCTACCGTGGTGACTCTCGTATCGTGAGCGGACAATCAGTCATGTACTTTGTTGCTTTATGTTGTCTTGTGACAGTCATTTTTGGTGTCTCTGTTTGACAGGTTCCGGAGCGTTCTTATAAGCGATGATATACTTATTGGCCATCTCTAATAGACCGACCAAGCTCTGCTGATTTGCGAGTTTGAGGTCTAAACAAAATCTCTCTGATCTCACTCCTTGTGTCAGTGCAACTTGAGCCATGTAAGGTTTCAAATCCTTGGCATCCTGTGCTTTGCTCTAGAAACCTGTGATAAACGACTGCAAGCTCTTCGGTTGACATAAAGATCATGTACTCTTCTTAGGCCTCATGACACTGACAAACTGCGATAGAAAAAGTCACCTGAACTCTGCAAAACAGGTGATTATCCCCACAGATAGGGCTGTCATCTTGGCTCGTCGTTTGCGAACAGCTCGTTAAGAGGCTCGTGTTCGGTTCGTTCGTTAAGCCTAACGAGTCGAACAAGAACAAAAATTTGTTCGCTCGTGGTCAGCTCGAATTTGCTCGGAAATAAATAAAAAAAATCTGTACATAATAAATAAATAAAAATATATTTACATAATAAATATTAATGAATACAAATTGTTGGGGAGG